TATTAAGGGCGATAAATCAACAAACAGCGGGAAAAGTAAGTAAATGAACAAATACAAATACATGAATAAATAACCATACACACATATATATATATATACATATATATATATATATGTATATATATATATATGAACACATAAACGAACGTGTTCATACATACATATATATATACATATATATATATATATATATATATATATATATATATACGTACGTGTAGGTAAATATACATATATATATATATATATATATATATATATGTATAAGTATACATATATCAGAAGTGTTATCCAACTGTTACAGAGTGGGGCCTGACACACCCCCACGCAGACACCATGCAGGGAGCGCGGATGGGTGGAGACTGTCGGACCCCGTATAACTAACCTTGGCTGACTTCTGAACCCCTCCAAAAAGTTAAACTGTTGGCCTCCTTCTTATCGTGCATTTAACAATCCAAAAAGTTAGTCCTAAGAGCCAACCAGAAGAACGGCAAGTAACCGCTCTAGAGTCTATCCTGTGGGATTTGGGGCTGCATGGTTTGGGCCCCAGGATGAATTAACTCAACCCAAAGCCACGATGCAAGCCCTTAGAGTTCCCATTAAAGCATTTATCAAACCCAAAGCTAACCGAGCCCTAGCTAGTCACCTTCGTATGATTATTACGACTAAAGTAAGTTTACATCAAATCAATATATTCTAGTACAGCATATTCTACTAGCATCTTATAGCCTATCATAATGCAATAGTATCATATTGCGCGCTTTGACCAGGAGTCTTCTTATCATCCGGCATCAGGCCAGTAGTGCTGTCCACCACAAAGATTGCCGCCACGGACTCGCGCAACGCAACATCGATCCTTAGTCGGGCCCCCCAAAAAAGCACATAAGTAAACAACAAGGATAGGGATGTCCCACAGAACACCCTTTATGATAAAGCCCACTAAGGTAGGAATATCCCAATAACGTGCTTATGCTTATGTCGTTTTTGGTCCCTAACTCAAGGTAGGTTTAGGGCTTCTGGCTTCGAGATCCGTACCTAACCCTACGCGGAGCAAACTCGGCAAAACATTGAGATTGTGGGCTGTGCGGTATAGCCGGTATCATCGTTTTAAGAAAAAGAGGGTGTGGGGCTCCCTAAAAACTTCACCATGCATGGATAGCCTGCTTGGTTCAACTCTGAAGAGGAGCGGCCAACGACACGTCCTAATACAGACTTTTTCAATAACTAAGAGTGTGCTCAGAATAATGCTTGGCGGGATGTTCTCGTTTGAGTATATACGGACATTAAGAGACTAGCATGAGTACTATTCTAAACCCTGAAGACGAACCATCATCTAGCTTGAAGACCTAAGCTGCAGGACCTGCCGCAAAACACCGGTTTACACCGAATTTGTGGAAAATTACAACTCAAGACCAAAAAACAAACAACTCCTCAACCGTAAAATATAAACTCTGGCTCCTAACCTAAGCCTGACACTAACATCCAAAACCCCAGGCGCAAACAACCCTCCGAAAACCCAAACCCGACACCCGGACCATTACCCTAAACCCTGAACCCTAAACCCTAGTAACAGTAGCATGGCGGCTGATGTCGAATCTCCTCCTGGAAGCGTATCCTCAGCAAGGTTTTTTGTAAGTTGAGATGACTTTCACGTCTGCCCGAGTTGGTGCTCAACTACAAAGGCGAAGTTTAGGGCTTAAGGCAAAAATCCGTGCCGTTTTCTGCCACTACCAAGTCTGACAGGGGAGGGTTCGAAGTTCGAAGTCTTACTTGTCCAGTATTAAGGGAACTAAACGTTCACCCTTGGGATTATACTTAAAGGATCATGGGACTTAATTAATTAGTACCTAACTAGGGTTACAATTAGGCGAACTTATAACCTCAATTAAGGTACTTATAACCTTACTTACTAAGTCCCATGATCCTCCAAGCAGGGCCTCTAGCAACCCCAAAAAGGGTTATTGGGTTGCCTATCCGACTGCTAAGGCGGTTCATGGAATTCATGGGGTTGAGGGCTGAGGATCTTGTGCCCCTGTGGTTTGGGGTGAAGGGTGTCTTAGCGGAGGTCGGGCTTCTGCGCCTAGGACTAATATAGGGGCCTTAATAATTCGACTACGGTTTTGGGGCCCATTATACTATCATTATAACAAGGAGCACCGAAAATAGTATTGGTAATTGTTAAGGCCCGAATGGTAAGGATTTAGGCTTTAGGGTTTAGAGGGTTTAGGGGGTTTAGGGCTTGGTTGGGTTTTGGGGATTCAGGATTATGTGGTAATACAATTAAAAAATAGATTAAGGACCGATAAACCGTACAGCAATAAGCCCAATCCCCAAACAGAACCTTCAACTCTCTGCGCGTATCCGAAACCCTAAGCCTATAAGTTCATTGAGCAATATCCCAAAGCATGAACATGACAACCCCAGGAATCAGATGAAGCCTCTCCGTTACCAACCTAGGCAAGAGGGTTGAGGGATTTAGGCTTCAGAGCTGAGGGTTTAGGGCTATAGCGATATAGGGGCTGAGGGCTTAGGCGGTTTAGGGATATAGGTCTAAACCATAAACCCCGACACACCCGAACTCCGCTAAACCCTAAACCCTCTAAACCCAAACCAGAAACATAACTCTGCACCCTAAACCCGACTTGGAGGATCATGGGACTTAGTAAGTAAGGTTCTAAGTACCTTAATTGGGCTTATAAGTATATAGTTATCCTATAATTATAACGCTAGCCACTAAGTCCCTTTAAACTTTAACCGTAACGCTGACAGAACACCCTAAACCCTCCGACGTCCTTTGCGGCCCGGACTCCTGCGGTACTTGTCGAAGATGAGGCCTCCGCTGTCGATGACATCGAAGAGGTACCTTGGGGCTTTTCAAAGGCCCCGAACAGTCAGGTTCTGGGGTTTCTGTTGTATGAGGGATGTAATTAGGGGCGCACTTGTTGTTTTTAAGAGCCTTGAAAAGCTAAGTTTTCTTTCAAGGGCCCTTAGAAACCTTGGGGTTGCGGGCTTTCTAGTTTTAGGGCTTCTGTTTTAAGAGGGATCTATAAGGGTACTTGTTTTATCGTCCTTGGGGTTCTTGTTGCAAAGGACCTATACAGTCTATAAGGGGTTACGATAAGAAGGGTGCTGTACAGGCTCTTTAGGGTTGAGGGTTTTAGGGCTTTAGGTTGGGCTTAGGGTTTGGGGTTCCTTGAAAAGGGTCTGTATGAGGGTAATACAACAGAAATATTTTTCTGGTCCGAAGCCCTCAAATGTGCGGCTTAGGGCCGTTATGGTCTCGATGATTCGGGCTCAGGGTTTAGGATTTTCGGGTACCTTAAGGCTTCTTTCTGACAGGATCGTTGAGGGCTGCTCTACGGGCACCATAATCGTCCTCAGAGTTTCTTGGCTTAAGGGCCCTTACAAGAAACTTGGAGTTTGGATTTAGGACTTCAGGGGTTTAGGATGTTCGGGCATCTTAATTAGGGATCATGTGCAAAAGGATCTATAAGGGTTACTGTGCCATGATCGTCCTTAGGGTCTGGGCTTAGGGGTAAGGTTTAGGGATTAGGGCTTTGGGTTTTGGGTCAGCTTATCCTTGAAGGGTTCGAGGATTGGTTCATAGAAGTTTAGGGTTCTGGCTATCCGAAACAGCATGGGCGATCAGCGAATGTCCTGTATCCTCTGTCAACTAGTAGCCTCACTCACTCTAACTCTAAGCTACAGAGCGTGTACTTTTCCCCACAAGTCCTTCATGGGATGTCGTCTGGGGCCGGAAACATGGGGTCGTTCAGGTACCACGACGCTTGCGCGGTAAACCCTTACCCCGACTCTAAAGCATGACTCCTGCGCATACTTGGGGGTCATGGGACCCCCATGAAGCGCAATAGATACTTCTACCTCCAATCAAGGTGCTTATAACATGTATGTACTAGGTCGCATGATCCTCTAAGTATCTTCGGCTGCTGGCAGGACGCTACAGGAGCCACTACTTCAAGCACCTACTGGTACTTACTTATCCGACTTATCCGGCTCAACCTCAAAAGCTGAACCCTAAAAGCCCAAACGCCATAAACCCTAAACGCCCCAAAGCTAAACTCCAAAACCCTGACGCCTTAAACCTCCAACTCGCGATGGCTTCCTCGATTCTTCAAGCGGGGGGGCAGCGCTGGGAAAAACTTTAGCCATTCTGCCATTGCTTGGGTTTGGTGCTTAAATGTAGGTTTTCGGGTCGGAGACACCTTTCAGTGGTTGGGGCTTTGGAGACTTCATTTCGTCTCCGGGTTGTTTGCTTGTGTTTGCTCTTTCCTGCCCCTGGTTTCGAGTTTTGGTTTAAAGGGAACCCCAGAAAGTTGGAATATGGTTTCAGGGTAGGATACCCTAGAATTTACCAAAAAGGGTTTAGGATAATCATATTCCAACTTTCTGGCTTTTACTTTACGGTGCAGGAACAGGGCTAAATGTGACTCTACGGGTTTCTACTTTTGGTTGGTGCACCTTCCCCACTGCAGTTTCAGAAGGTGTTACGCTCCAGAGATCGTGTTCTGGGGTTGAGGGTTGGGAGTTTAGGGTTTAGGGGTTTAGAGTTTAGGGTTTAGGAGTTTAGGGTTTAGGGGTTTAGAGTTTAGGGTTCAGGGATTTAAGGTTTAGGGGTTTAGAGTGTAGGGTTTAGGGTTTAGGGGTTTGGCTTTAGGGTCCTAGAGGCCCCATAGTAGTTCCTGTTTGGGGTTCATATGTAGGATCCTATAAGCTAATCCCAAAAAATTCGCAAGGCTCTGTTCCTTTTTCGGCCCGCGGACCTGCCGTACCACGTTTGTGGAGCAGAATGGGCAACAAAAGATTAACGAGCATGCAACGGTTTATAGGATTTAGGGTTAGCAATACACTTATTAACTGTATCCCCAAGCACAACAAAATAGCTTGACCAATGATAGGGCATACACCTCAAATTAAACAAGCGAATTAAACAAATGGAGCGGCAGGTACAGTAACACCTCCGACCCGAACCCTCAAGGAATTTAAACCTCACTCCTGAGTTGGAGGCACTCCCGTGTCGGCGTGCCAGAGACATGCACATCAAGAAAGCGGTCTTCACGGATTGAGCCTCGTATCCGCGAGCGGACTTCGGTGCAGGATGGCAGCCGCACATCCACAGAAGCATTGAAGCACGGCCCACCGGTGTAGTTGGCAGCAGTCTTATTTGTAGCATATCTCACGCAGGACGTCGCTGAATTGTCGACAAAGACCTGGCGGCGTGAAGCTTCCAGCGCTTGTTTCAGAGCCCTTCGAATGATCTAAATAAGTATATTGAGTATCCCTGGACCCCAAAAATATGTAGAATAATGGCCCTTAATAGATTTTGGGCCATTATTTTACTGTATACTTTTGAAGGCTCAGGTCACCTCTTTACTGATGCTCCCGCCTTGAGATTGAAGTAGCGTGCGTAGATGGTCACGACCTTCCGAAGGACGGACACCGAGCAGCCGTTCTCCGGAGTGCAGAAAGATCCCTTGAGCAGAGTCCAGATGCTGCTAGTGTAGGTACCTCAAACCCAGGGTGAAGGGTTAGGGGCCGGCATAAGTTCAAAACGATGTAGGCTTTACGGCTTAGGGTTTCAGAGTTGAACATGAGAACAGGATGATGGATTCTTTACGGCTTAGGGTTTAAGAGCCTTGAGAAACAAGAACAGGGTAGCTGGGGTATGTTATGGCAACTTAAAGGATCATGGGACTTAGTAACTAGGGTTATATTTAGGGTAACTATACTGATAACCCCAATTAGGGTACTTATAACTTTGCTTACTAAGTCCCATGATCCTCCAAGTAAGTACATGGGATGATTCAGACCTCGAGCCTCGTTCATCGCCGCAAGCATCGCCGTAAGAAAAACAAACTCAACTCAAAACTAAACCCTAAAACCCCAAAGCCTAGAATAGGATTCCTTTGAAGGGTTCCTTTCGAAGGGTTTATTAGAGATTCATAGGTGACAGGGCCTGTAAGATGACTGAAACCCTAAACCCTGCAACCCTTCACGGAACCATAAAAGGAAACTCGTCAATGTCCCTCTCCCAAGATCCCTCGAATTTATACAAATTTAGACCCCAATCAGTGGGGTCTTTACTTTCAGGAAACACCAGTAATCATGGCTTCGCACAGGAGACTTTCAGAAAAATTGTTAGTCAGGTCCTTATTATTAGAAGGATCCTACGGGTTCGGGCTCTATATTGGGTTCCGATTTCTGAAGCCCCAAACCTGGGTTCTTGGGAACGGATTTAACTTAGGTTGCCATCATGGGGGTCTATAGTAGTAAATAATATGGTTCCTTTATTACGGTAACTTAAAACTGAATCCCTGAACAAGAACCCAGAAAAAGAACGCTCCCATCGCCTGTGGATTTCGCATAGGCAATTTCAGCCTGGTAAACTTGAGCCAGGACGTATCCTGGGCTCTGACGTGTCTTTTTTTGAGCCCCTTTTTACTGTCCTTCGCACGAGATGAAGGCAGCGTAGGGTTGAGGGTTCAGGGTTTAGCGCTTATAGGGTTAGGGTTTGGGGTTTAGGGACGTATCCTGGGCTACCGAGGGCAGTGAGGTTTCCCAGAGGGTCCATCTGTGCTACCTGGGTCCCCAAGCCATCCTTGTAATATAAGCCTTATCATGGCAGTGGTGACACCCTAAACCATCCTAAACCCCAAACTTCAAACCCCTATACAGGTAGTACTCTGGCACTCCCGATCCCAGTGTCGTGCAGGCCACTCAATGTTGCCGCAGAGGTCTTCGCCCTCCGGTTCAGCGAACCTAAGATTAGGGTTTAGGGGTAAACAGTAATATCAGACTGCCCAGCAGAGATGAATCAAGATACCGAAGTTGGCCCTTCAAAGCCTCTGACAAATATTCGTAAACCTTTGCTCTTAAGCCCAATACGGCAAAACAGAAAATATCCCAAAGGCCTACCTAGATTGAGATACTGCATGGCCCCAGCCCTAGCCCTAAACCGTCGAAGAGGTCGAGATACTGTATGAACCCAAATGTGTCCGGATTGTGCATGTAGCGATGGCCACCCACAGGCTGCCAGACCCATTCCCAGTAACAACTCCATTGGTCTGCTCCCAGTAGAGTAGGCTGATCCTTCTGAGTGCGGGCTTTAGCGTTTAGGGTTACTTAGGGGTTTAGGGTTTAGGGTTTCGGGGTTTAGGGTTTAGGATCACTTCTGCGCTACAGTAAAATGCGACCTAGTGCTGCTACCTCTGCTGCTTCTGTGCCTGTTATTGCTGCTAGTATCAGCAGACGATTGTGTCCTCTGCTGCCGTTGGTTCCAGTGTCATTTCTGTGAAGACTATCTGAATCGTTGTGACCGTGTATTGTCTACCAAGAAATGCGACGAGTGGCTCATTCATGTGAGTGAAGGCAGGGGCAGAAGCGTGTTAGATTAGCTTGAAACAAGATTGGCATGCACGGCACTGTCTGTGACCTTCTTCTGCGGCTCCTTCTGGATCGACGGACAGAGCTGTCCAAAGAGGGAGGAGTTTGACGTGAAGAAAGGGTGTTCTGCACGCGAGAAGTCCACAGACCAATATTTCGCACCAGCATTCGGATCAAACCTGTGAGGGGAAGATTTCGGATGTTTATCATAACATGACTTCTATACCACTCTCTAAGCCCCGAAACCCCTAAGCCATTTAGGGCCTGCAATATTATCAAAGGGTTGTGGGATATATCACTTGATAGTAAGCTTGTAACGAGAAACCCTGACTAATTATTCACACTTTTACATGTCACAACACAACCAAAACCCCGAAATTAACACCCAGAGCCCTAAACCCTAACCACCCAAAATCCAGACCCCAGCCTCTCAGCCAATGAGGTACCTTGGCCTGCCGAGAGGAGCCCACCAATGCCATCGGCAGGATGCAGAGGGAAGGCGATCTCCACCTAAGTTTTAGGGTTCTAGGGTTATGGGTTGAGGCTTTAGAGTTTCGGGTTGAGGGTTCAGGGTTGTCCCATGGCTTAAGAACCCCTGAACCCGTAAAATCCCGTAAACCTCCACCCAAAATCCTAACATACGACCCACCCTCCAGCCCACACCCCTAAACGATGTAGCATCCATGCGTAGGGCTCACTGTAGGGTTTTCGGGTTGGGGTACAAAGTTACGTAATGTTCGTCGGATGAGGGTTTCGTCGCACGGGCTTCGACAAGCCTATCAACCGAAGCTCTCCAAATAGTGCAGAGCACCTACAAACTTCAGACCCCAAGAACACCTCAAAACAAGCAGTGACAGTATAAGGGCTTTATGCATGATCTCATAGGCCAACAACCTAGTGAGGAGGCACTTGAGTTTAGGATAGACGTGCTGGTAGCGTAGTATCTACGAGAGCAAACGTTGAGTAGACATCTACTTGGACCATTCGGGCAAATACTACACTGCAGCCAAACACCAAATAACAGCAAAACAGCAGACCCCTTATAGTAATCCCTGAAAGGAACCCTTACAGTTAGCAGTGGCTCAATGGCCCACTTATGCCCTCTTGCACAATGTGCCAAGGGTAAAAGGAGGGACCCTTAAGAAGGACCCCTAGGTCTATATCCTTAATATAGCCATTATATACCCATTCTATAGCCCATTATAGGGTAGGGGTCCCCATCAAGGGTACCTCGTTTTCCCCTTTGACAATTTGGGAGCTTCCGAAAATAGGGGACCCTAATATAGAACCTTAAATAGGAGGATCCTTATTATTAGGACCCCAAACAAGGTACCCCTAATTTTCGGAAACTCCCTAAACCCTAAACCCTATAGATCCCTTATAGGAACCCTCAAAGGATCCCTTTAAGGGAACCCTAAGGTACCCCCAATTTTCGGAAACTCCCACCGAGAAACCGTCCATCCCTTTGTAGCCCAGCCCTCCGCCCTGGCGGTAGCTGTTCTCATGTTTGGATACATCCTTGGTTGGCCGGATTTAGGGGTTTAGGGTTCAGGGTTTAGGGTTTAGGGTTCAGGGTTTAGGGTTTTAGGGTTTTAGGGTTTAGGGTTTAGGGTTTAGGGTTCAGGGTTTAGGGTTTTAGGGTTTAGGGTTTAGGGTTCAGGGTTCAGCTTCTCTGACTTTGGAAATTTCGAGTCAAGCTATCTCAAGTCAAAACCCCACCCGCCCAAAGGTTCCCCTCACATTATGAAATAACAATCTTTATTTTATATTCATGAGGACGATTCTTCTTAGGAACTTCTTTTCATAATACTTTTTATTTTGCATACGATCTCGCCTTTGTGCAGATGATTTTTGTTAACAATGGACACAACTTCTTCTTAGCTTATAGAATCATAGCACACATGGCCGCAAGATACTACAAAAACAAAAAGAAAACATCATGCCATGCTGCTGGAAACTTCGTTAATCAACCGCTTGCAGAATTGTTTCGCTTATTGGAGCGTTAGGAAGTAAAATCTCTGGCAGAATTGCTTCGCTTATTGGAGCTTTAAGAAGGAAAAACTCTTGCAGAATTGTTTCGCTTATTGGGGCGTTAGGAAGCAAAACCTCTTGCAGAATTGTTTCGCTTATTGGGGCATTAGGAAGGAAAACCTCTTGCAGAATTGGTTCGCTTATTGGGGCGTTAGGAAGGAAAACCTCTTGCAGAATACGCCCTAAACCCTAGGCTCTAAACCCTAGGCCCTAAACCCTAGGCCCTAAACCCTAGGGCCTAAACCCTAGGCCCTAAACCCTAGGGCCTAAACCCTAGACCCTAGGCGCTAAACCCTAAGGCCGCCCTTACACTAAGCTCTCTGCTCTAAGGCCACCCTAAGCTTGTCCCCACCCCACCCTCGGACTCAAACCCTAGGCCCTACACGCTAGGCCCTAAACCCTAGGTGAGCCTAAACCCTAGCCGGTTTCCATGTACCGTCGCTTATTGTAAATCTCAAGCCAAGAGTTTAGGGACTCTCGGGCCAAAAGTTTAGGCGCTAAATCTCGGGCCAAGGGTTTAGGCCCTAAATCTCGGGCCAAGGGTTTAGGCCCTAAATCTCGGGTCCAGGGTTTAGGCGCTAAATCTCGGGCCAAGGGTTTAGGCCCTAAATCTCGGGCCAAGGGTTTAGGCCCTAAATCTCGGGCCAAGGGTTTAGGCCCTAAATCTCGGGCCAAGGGTTTAGGCCCTAAATCTCGGGCCAAGGGTTTAGGCCCTAAATCTCGGGTCCAGGGTTTAGGCCCTAAATCTCGGGTCCAGGGTTTAGGCCCTAAATCTCGGGTCCAGGGTTTAGGCCCTAAATCTCGGGCCAAGGGTTTAGGCCCTAAATCTCGGGCCAAGGGTTTAGGCCCTAAATCTCGGGCCGAGGGTTTAGGCCCTAAATCTCGGGCCAAGAGTTTAGGCCCTAAATCTCGAGCCAAGGGTTTAGGCCCTAAATCTCGGGCCAAGGGTTTAGGCCCTAAATCTCGGGCCAAGGGTTTAGGCCCTAAATCCCGCGCCAAGGGTTTAGGCCCTAAATCTCGGGCCAAGGGCGAACGGTTTAGCCCTAAATCTTGGTCGAACAGTTTAGCCCCAAATCTGGGGCGAACGGTTTAGCCCTAAATCTGGGGCGAACGGTTTAGCCCACGAAGATTGATGAAGTGCCCACGAAGATTGATGAAGTGCCCACGAAGATTGATGAAGTGATCAGCCCTAAACCTAGGGCTAACGGTTTAGGGCCGTCCTATATCTAGGGCTAGCGGTTTAGGGTCGCCCTTAATCTTGGGCTAACGGTTTAGGGGCCGCCCTAAATCTCGAGCTGACGGTTTAGGGGCCGCCCTAAATGCGAACGGTTTAGCCCACGAAGATTGATGAAGTGCCCACGAAGATTGATGAAGTGATCAGCTGAAAAAAGTCAATTGCCCACGAAGCCATTAACATTTAAATAACTATAGGTAGAGAGGTTTAGGGTTCAGAGTTCAGGGTTTAGGGTTCAGGGTTTAGGGTTCAGGATTTAGGGTTTAGGGTTCAGGATTTAGGGTTCAGGGTTTAGGGTTCAGGGCTCACCGAAAGTGCCTGAGCAGTCCGATAACGGGTATATGCACAAACACAAGAAGCTGCACAACTCGAGTGAACGCTATACTGCACGACAAGTACGATGCTAATAGCTGCTCAACCCTCAAATTCGCGGAGCCTTCGACCCGTTCACCGAAGCCACAAACCTACCTTGGGTTAGGGAATGGAGGAATGAGGTACAATTAAACTACTACTACTGCCCTTCTTCCATTCCCTACTAACCAAAGGTAAGCAAGGCGTTTCCTTTAGGGGGTCCTTATCATAAGGATCCCACTATTTAGGGAACTATAATATGAGGGTCCCCTATTTTCGGAAACTCTCATTTCAAGAATAATGAAAGCATCGACCATGTCCCACCGAAGGGTGGCCAGGATGAATTCTGGCAGTACCTTCAGGGTTTAGGAGTTTAGGGTTTGGGGGCTTGCGGGTTGAGGGTTTAGGGTTTAGGGTTCTGAGCATGCTCACTAGATTAGAGTTTGCACGGCATCCTAGCCGCTGAGTTCCCTAGCGCCATAAAGGTTACGTTCTAGCGCTTAGGGTCTATAGGGGCCTGATAAAGTTCACCTGCGCGACAGACAACTTACCATCCAAACATACTGCAATGACACAGTACTTACAGTGTACTCCCTCAATCCGAGACCCTAAACCCATGTAAACCCAAACCCTATACCCCCCCTAAAACCCAAGACCATGAACCTTTCAGTGGATTATGAAGAGGTGGACACCTCTAGCTCTAAGACACAGATATATTGCTAACAGACCCTCAGAATTCATGAATACTTCGAAGAGGGTATTTGAAGGGGGGGGCGGGGTATAATGCAATGTATTGTTCTACCGGGGAGATACGATAACGGGATACTGTTTCTGTTAATTTTGAGCCATCTCCAGCCATTCACCCGGGCATAAGTAGCTAGTGCCATGCCTGCTGAAAGTTTGGATGGGATGTATATGTATATGTGTATACAGCGAACTTAATAGTTTGACTGGGGTGTGGGGGGTTATAGTATCCTCATAAAGCAGAACCCTGAAGCCAAACGAAAATTGGAGAGTATTCCGGCTTCTTGATTTCCCCCCCAAATCCTAAACCACTAGACCCTAACCTTAGAATCTCGGGATTCACCCACCTCTCGCACGCAGAGTCGGTGATCGAACAGCACGGCACTCCGGTTGAGCCCAATCCACTATCTGGCACACGCCACAGCACATCATAGGTCGCGTTGTTGAAATTCATTTCCTGTGCTGGCAAGGTGCCCATCTGGAATGCACTTCGGTATGCACAGTCACCCTTTCTGTATGTTCTACATATAACTCTAGCCGGCATTGCAGAAAGATACCTATCTCATGTACAAAGTTCAACTTGCCTCAAACTGAAGACGAATCGAACAGGAAGCTTTCGCTAAGAGAAATTTATCCGTCCGGCGAGCGAAGCGTCGAACTCCTTATACCAGTGGTTTGTGCCGGCAACATCGATAAATACTTCGAAGTCGTTGTCGTAGTACCTTCACTGAGTTGAGTCGTCGTGCAACAGCAGGAAGCGGCCTACCCATTCAACCCTAAGTCCTCGGCCCAGTGAAGTTCTAACCTGCAAACCCTAAACCTAAACCCCGCCCCAAATCCTTTACCCTATGCCTTAAACCCTCAAACCCCAAACCGGCAACCCCAAAACCCAGAAACAAACAAAAAGTATCTTCAAACTTTGAAGCTAGGGCACGGAACATTGCCTTGGTAGGAAAGGACGTTTACACGTTGAGTTGGTAAAAACAAAAGGCTAAGCGTAGGAATTTCACGGCTGGGTTGGTTTAGGACGTGTTTCCAAGATGAACTGTCACCTTCAGGATTTGGGGATTAGGGGGTGTTTGGTTTAGGGTTCCAACATGGATTGGTATTGCAGAAGACCAACACAAACTAGTTCAAAGACGTCAGTTGAGCCAGTTCTTTCCACAGCAGTTAGTCCTCCTTTATGAAGCCATGACCGCAACACCCAACGAAAACACAAGCTGTCCCTAAACACTCAACCCGCAAACGGCTACTGCAGAGCCCCTTAACCCAAAACCTCTTAAAACCTCAACCCCTAAACCCCACAGCCGAGTTGCTGTTGCCGATGGGGTTCGTACTTGTCAGGCTCGGGTTGGATCCGCGCACGAAGCCGTGTTCGACCCAGGGTTCGCCCACGAATGCTCCAACGTACCTGTAGTAAACCCGAAATCCTGCACCCTAGAACCTGAACCCAAATCCTGAACCCTACCTAGGGCGCCCTATTCCTGCAAGTGGTGCTGTGTTGGGAATATTCACAATCACAATCTGGGGAATCCCGAAAGTCCTCATGAGCCGCGGAACCTGCAACTCTCACAAGACTTCGGCCTCAACTTCCCAGAGACGCCACTATCCCTGAATTCAGGAAGATACCCCTAAGGGTTCCTTAAAGGGCTCCTGAAAGGGATCTATAAGGGTACTGTAAGGGAATTATGGTAATACACCTTAAATTACAGTAGGATCCCTCATATGATTTAAGGTCTATTCCCTAATTATGGGATATTGGAGTCTCTGGGTTTAAGCCCGTGTAGCAGCCCAAGACAACTTGTTAGAATCCCCTTTCGGAATCCCTACAGGAACAATAAATATCGCGGCAAGATGCAAGTACTCCGCATCCCATCGCACTTTGACGTGAGTAGCGAACTGAGATGGCAACAGGTAGTCCGGAAAGAGAGGTTGGGCAATATCTTTGAAAGCAGTAGTCGTAAATGGCACCTCCTCCCAAACAGACTCATTCAGGTTGCCATCGATCGTGATAGACTGTCCATCAGCGAGCCGTCTGGCAACATACTGGCTCGGATAGGCGTCCAAGAACAGGAAACCTAGCCCTTGTTGAGGTACTTGTAGCAGATTCACCGCGTCATTCTGCTCGCACTCTGCTGCGCCCGTTGCCTCAGAGAGCACCTCCCCGCAGAACAGCAGGCTCACAAGAAGTGCTGGCACATGGCAGCCGCCCGCCATTTGAGCCGACTCAAATTGCTCCTACCATGGATGCTGCGCTGTATGTGCTGGGAAAGGCGCGAAGTTCGTGGAGCTATGTATAAGCAAGACAGCACCTTGACGTAATTTGGTCACTGCGAGCTTTTACTCTGAGTACATGTTGACATGTTGACTGGCCGGCCACTTACTGTGGCTTACTTGCTTGATTCTCCGTGTCATCTTCGAAGCAATGGCTCGATCAAAAGACGCGGGCAATATCACCATGCCCAGGCTGGCTGTTGTGTGCAGTGCAGCCTTGCGAAGAAATCTGATGAGACGTGTATAGTGGTAATGGGAATACTAACAACTACAAGATTTACATCGTTAATAACAATGATTAGTAGCCGCAAATTAAATAGCAATATCTAAATTTTATAAGAGAAAAGAATAACAATGCTATTCGCAACAGTAGTTGTTACATTAAAGCCATTCTAACAGCAATGACAATCATAACAAACATCAGGGTTCAACTGCAGTAGCAGTCAATAGCACAAAGCTCAGAGTCTGAGACACCCAGACTCGCCATCCTGTCCCTAAGGGAGCGGTTTGTGTCTGTGGGTCCTAGGCCTCGCTTCATGACGGCGGTATCGGTACCTTTTGTTAGTAGGGAATGGAGGAATGGGGTACAATTATAACTACTATTACGAGCATTCTTCCATTCCCTACTAACCAAAGGTAAGGGTATCGTAACCTAAGTAAAGGGAACAACGCCTCTCGGCGCAAGCAACCACCGAGTCGCGTGTCACCGCAGTCATCGGTGTGCTCGGCTTGCTGGTAAGTGCCTGAGATCACCGGAATACTTGGAGGATCATAGGACTTAGTAACTTAGTAAGTAAGGTCATAAGCACCTTAATTGGGGTTATAAGTATAGTTACCCTAGTTAAAACCCTAGTTACTAAGTCCCATGATCCTTCAAGTAATGCAACCCGAGACCTGCACCGCATAACCGAAAGGTTCCCAATTACTCAAGTAGGGCTTTCGGCCCTAGAGTATAGAACTGCTAAGGCAAAAAGTATGTGGGCGGTGAATAGGCCTCGCGGTACGGTTGACGGGTATAGGGCTTTTGGGGCTTTAGTTAGATGCGCAACTCGAAGATTTACTTTGTCTTTGTCCACGAAACGGACCGCATGCGTACTGGAGGCCCTCGCAGCACTAGCATCCGTAAGGAACCACATCAAGCTGCACGAAAACCTTATGTAAAGTCGTGCACCCGAAGCCGAAACAACCGAACAATGGAAAACCAAACGTCGATACCTCGAGCCCCCGCTTGACAACCCTAAACTCTCACCCGAAACTTAAAACCCTGGTCTTATCACCCTAAACCCCAAACCCTGTAACCTGAACCGAAACCATATTCTGAACACTCACCGTCTCGTGACCCTGTCTTGCCCGACAGAATCCGAGAGCAAATGCTTACAGTGTTTAATGGGTTTTACGAATTGCAGAGTTTAGGGCGTAAGGTTGACTCTCCCCTATGCTACGTAAGGGTTTTGGGCTGTTCTGAGCCTCAAGGGGTTTGGGGTTTAGGGTCCAGGCTGACGAGACACGATCATGCGTCACGTTGATGGCATCGTGAGTGATGCCTCCAATTTGATCCGGACAGTCGGCAATGCGATTGACCTCAAGTTCTGCATGCAGAGCCGGACTTATCAGTCAGGGACGATACAGAGTTTAGAATTCGGAGCATCGGGCTTATGGTTGGGTGTAGGTTTCGGGCTACGGCTGAATCAGGGGGCTACTGACAATAAGCAGAACTAAACGTAACAAGCTCAGTTATACCGCAAGAAGCCGAGCAGGAACACGCATGTGTATGTGTATGTATATATATATATATATATATATATATATAATATACACAGAAAGGAGTCTGGACATGGAACGCGCGATTTCATGGAATTAAAACACACACGCACACGCACACAGACACACACACACACAGAGACACACACATATATATATATATATATACATACAGAGAGAGAGAGAGAGAGAGAGAGAGAGAGAGAGAGACAGAGAGGATAGGTAGATCGAAGATAAACAGACAGACCGATATATATATATATATATATAGAGAGAGAGAGAGAGAGAGAAAAAAAAACATGTGGATAAATGGATAGATAGAAAAGATAGAGACGTAGAGTGATAAAGAGATAGACAGATAGACAGATAAACAGATAGATAGGTAGGTCATAGACAGATAGATGGATAGACAGATGGGTAGATATACACAACTAAATGTGGGTGTGAGAAATGCGGGTGTGAGCATTTTAATATGAAAAACCAAGGCAAGATTAATACATCTGTATATATATATATATAAACGCACAAAAAATCCACAATACACATACACGCATGCTATCTTAACACATACGAACATACACATAAACAGACGTGCAAATTATGCCAGCTTCCTATCAGAGCAGGCTGGCAGAAGCGAATTCAGGGTGAAGGGAAAGTCGCCTGCAATGACTCAAGAGACTGATAAGAAGCCCCTCCTGGGGCATAATTAGCAGAGGGGCCTTAATTATTAGAATAGGGTTTGGGGTTCTTCTTTATATCCATCATAAGAAGCCCCTCCTGAGTGACACTTACGCTTTCATGCACATGAAACGGTTTGCAAAGGGATCACACTGCAAGGACGCATTCATGCACTCGAATCGGTTTGCAAAAGGATCACACCACAACGGGGAGAAGGCACAGAATTTAGTTCAGGGCTGGGGCTTCAGACTTCAGGCGTTACGCAAGGACTAGACCTAAGAGTAGCCTAGGAAAAAAAAAAGGTGCTCTTTTTGAAGGGGGGGTATAAGGGAACCTGAACCCCAAAGAAGGGAATAAGGGCTCACACTCCGGGCCCGGGAGGAGATACCAACAAACCCTTCCACCTCCAAAAACTCAAGGCCCAGCAAGCTTCATCTGCGGATGTGAAACCCTTACACTGCCTTACTATTAGGGTTTAGGGTTTAGGGTTTTACACCCCATGCACCTTAGAGCTTAATCCAAAAGCCTGAAGCTCCAAACCCAAGAACCCAACCCTAAACTCCTGTGCCCTACACGCTTAGAATCCTGCATTGAAAGCTCGAACCTCTGAAAAAACAAAGACAAACTTACATAGGGTTTAGGGTTTAGGGTTTAGGGATGCTAGAACCCATAACCCAAAGCTCCAAACCCGAACATCCTAGCACCCAAAAAGGGGCTTGCTTGCTACTAGAGGCGCCTTTCTAATTCCTTTATAAGGTTAACAATAAAGGGAACTCCAGAAAGTTGGAATATGGATTAATGGTAGGATCCCCTAATAATTTACCTTAAAGGGGTTACGATAATGATATTCCAACTTTCTGGCTTTTACTGTAAGGGCTTCTTTCAGGGCCACCCTCATGATTCTTTAAGGGTTTTATACCGGGGCCTTGATAGTTGAAATTGGGTTTTGGAGGTACATCATGCCATAATGCAATTCAAGGCCTCAAGGGCCCCTGTGCCCAAATAGTATATACCTTGGCCTTAAAGTATTCCCTATCTGTACAGGTGCACTGAGCCCAAAGTATATACTAGGTGGGCACATGGGCCCTTAGGGTACGGAAAACGTATGTAAGTGTTCCTGCCTTGGGGCTTAGGGCCTAAACTCCAGAGTTCACGACCCCCAAATCCTCTCCAAGCCCTAAGCCCACAAAGATCGTCGACGGCCAAGAGCTTTGACCTAAAAGCCCTGAATACTGTTAACCCAAAGCTCTAATATCCCCAAACCTCTATACACCCATCGTCAGCCAACACCATCTTCCAAACCTTGCTTAAACTTGAATCGCCAAGCCTTAAACTAAACCCCTGTAGAACCCAACAGCAAGCCTGCAGAATCCTTCATAGAGCTTTGTAGCCTTAACCCTAAAACCTCTAAACCTCAGACCCCTAAACCCCTGAAGCCCTAGACCCTAAACCCCTAAAGCCCCCTAAACCCCCAAGAAGGGCATGGCACCAGCGTGGACTTGCCGACGTTGGGCCGACCCACCACGGCAATGCAGGGTCTCTGGATCTTCTCTGGCGCGTTGGCCTGAGACTTTAGGGTTCAGGGTTTAGGGTTTAGGGTTTAGGGTTTAGGATGTAGGGTTTAGGGTTTAGGGTTTAGGGTTCTAAAGGTTTTATAGGGGATCTACAAGGTATCTGTAGGCATGTTGGAGTTTTGGATTTAGCTTTAGGACTTCGGAGTGCTATTGGGGTTAGAGCTTAGGGTTGAGGATTTGCGACCGACATCACGTCGACAAGCGAGATCTGTCAATCACGACACCTCACAATTCCCAAAACCCAACCTAGGGGTCTACAATATGGGAGTTTCCGAAAATAGGGGTAGCTTATTTTGGGGTCCTTATAATAAGGATCCTACTATTTGGGCTACTATATTTGGGTCCCCTATTTTCGGAAACTCCCATATACAATTCAGGCAAAAGCCTCGAAGCGGAATCAGTAATCATAGACTGTTCCGTTCCGTCTTGAACCCTATGCTAGACATCCCAAAGGGTCTTACATCAAGCGTAGTCGTAGAAACCCGACCTTCTACAATATACGCACACCGGACACTTGAGTGGTACTCCAGATGACCTACACCCGAAACTCCGAACCCTGCGAGCCCTAGACGCCCTCGAAATCCTCTAAATGTTTCTGGAAACTCCGTAAGCACTGTCAGCTCTTTTAAACCCTAAACCCTTAACAAGACCCAGACCACCCCAAATACGCAAAAGGAGACCATAGGGGGCTTTGTGGGGTCCTGGATTAAATCCTATAAACCCTAAAACCCTTTCTCTAAACCCTATAAACCCTATAAGCCCTATAAGCCTGAAACCCTCTAACCCTATAAACCCTTAAACCCTAAAATCATAAACAACCCTTCCTAGCTGAGGTCTTCCATTCCAGGCCTTCTTTTCAGCCCGGATCTCGGCCACCAGTCGAACAGAAGGAAGGCCGGGGTAGATCTTGTCATCGTTAAAGACCTCAGT